AGTGGCAATTTTACGACCAATTTACAACCAAATAGTAGTTAATTGGTGGTAAAATATATTAGATGTATATTAGTCGTAAATTTACAACCAATGAGTGACAAATGTTCTTTACGACCAATTAGGGACTACATTTGTAATATATTTTTAAAAAAAAAAGAGAGAAGAAAGACAGTGGAATCACAAGTCCATAGATTCTAAACGAAACCAACGTTTCAATGTTAGTCCCGCATTAATCTTTTTGGAGTTGTGATCCCAGTGTCTTTTTTTTCTCTTTTTCTTAAATTTTTAAACTCTTCGACTCAATTATCAACTCTCTTTATTAATATATTTCAAAATATTAGTTTAGAAATATTTGGAAAAGAAGAGAAGAAAGATACTAAAATCATAATTCCGTGGATTCTATGCGAAACCAACGTTTCAACGTTCGTCTCGCATTGATCTCTTCGGAGTTTTGATCCGAGTACCTTTCTCTATTCTTTTTCAAATCTTTCCAAACTATATCTAAAATATTTTAAAATTTTTGTTCATCTTTTGGGAGAAAACGATTTTTCTTTTATAGGGGACATTACGACTACTTAGCTTCGAAATTTTACGACTAATTAGCATCTGGTACCATCACTTAGTCGTAATAGAGTCGTACATTACGACCAATTAGCTTCAACCTACCATTAAAGCTTTGACCGAAATCCTAAACACGTGTAGTCGTACACTAGTCGTAATTTAACGACCAGAGTACGTTCACACGGACATGTAGTCGTATATTGGTCGTAATGTTACGACTATTTTACCTCTATTGTATTTGGTAGCAATTTAACCTCTGATTTACGACTAATTCTTTTTTAGACGTAATGTAGTCGTAATAGAGTCGTAAAATTACGACTACACATCTGTAGTCGTAATTCTTAGTCGCTAATGCCACGTTTTCTTGTAGTGCGACACCCAGGGATGGATGAGCTACCAGGATACACAATTGAAATGGAATCGATTGAGGAGAGACTGCACAAGTTTGAGACCACACACCTTATTGTCCCTAAACATCAGATACTACCTATCTGCACAGAAGAAGCTGTTGAGATTCACAAAATAGTGAAAATGATACATGATCCTAGGAAAACTGTGGTTCCTTGCGCAGTATTAGAAGTTGATTTTCCTATCCCACCTGATAGAAGTGTACAACCAGGTTCCAACATTAGGGTCTTGGATGACAATCAACACATAGAAGCTTCTCAGAGAGGATTGAGATGTAGATGTGAAGTTGACAAAGGTTCAACAGAAGTATTATCGATCGACATAGACCAGTTACCATCAATCGACACCGATCAGATACCATCGATCGACACAACCAGTTCATTGCCGATCGACATCCTTCGGGTATCTCAGCACGCAGATAAACAGAGAAGTCTGGGGGAAAGAAGAGGAGGAATTGGAAGAAGAGGAAAATGATCAAGGGTGATCCTCACTCTTCATTCTCTCCTTACTTCTAAGATGATGTCAGGAAATCTAGAGTGCGCAATAGATGTTTCTCACATCCTTTTGCAAAGCTTAAAGCACTTCTTATTGCTGAGATGATAGACAAAGGAGAAGAGACTATGGATGAAGCTTTCACATAAGAATGATAAAGCTTCAGAGAGTGGACATTGAGACTTGTTTTAAAGCGTGTTTTCATTCTCATCCGGGCTGAATCAAATATCTCCAGAAGTCAAGCTAATGACTAAAATAAGCGGTGAGTGGGAGGCAACCCACTGTTAGGTTTGTTTTAAATTTGGTTTATTTTCATTTATTACTAATCGTTTGTTTTTCATTGATTCCAGAAGAAAAAAGTGAACAGTGAAATTACTGTAGTAGATGCACTGCAGCAGCGATCGACACTGTAGCATTCCCGTCGATCGACACTGTAGCAATCTCGTCGAGCGACACTATAGCAATTTATTCTCATGTTTTAGAGAAGCTAACTAGAAACCTGAATCTTGGATTACTTAGGTTGGATTTGAGACATTTAAGCAATTCTGATAGTTCTGAACACATCTTGATTAAACTAGGATTGCTAGAAATACATCGACAGTTGATCTAGGAATCTTTAGTGAGTCTATGTTAACTCGTGTGTAATGCTGGACTGGACTCATCGATCGATATTCTGATAGAAAATAGATCGATGATGAGTATAGTATATCGATCGATATTCCGACTGAATCATCGATCAACACTGTCAATTGCGACCTTCCAGTCATTAGACTTATTTATTCAAACGAAAGTTTAGTAAATTTGTAGATTAAGATAGTTAATGCACTTTAATACCATGCAAACAACTAGATAACACCTATATGATTATAATCTCCAATACCAGAATAGAACCCTAGATTTAGTAACCATCTTTCCATATAATAACCCATTGCCAAGCTGAACAATAGTCTTGTTCATCTTGTTTATTGTTTTATTATTGCTTACACTGTTTACTGCTTTATTAGTTATTTACCTAGATTATTAATAACTGTTTAGATCTAATTGGTTTCCTAGCTCCTCGTGATTCGATCATTAAGTAATACAACTGAACCTCTTATTTGAGAGAGCAATTCACTCCTTAGAGTAAATTGAGTGATATTAACTTGAATACTGCGAGACATATGTGGTTGGATATTCATGACCAGTTTAAGTAGAGTGATGGACCAAGAACTGCTGAGATTAAACATCAAATCTTTATTGAGACACAAGGTTCTCAGAGTGTAAGTGACTACTACACCAAGCTGAAGCAGTTATGGGAAGATTTGAAGAATTATGGAAGTCCTTTAACTTGTTGTTGTAATCGTTGAGATTGTGAAAGTTTCATGAGAATTGTTGATAGAGAAGAAAATATCATATCTTGAAGTTCATGACTGGCCTTAAAGACACTTTTACTGCAACAAGAAGAAAGATTCTGATGATGGAGCCAAGACCTAATATTTTTAAGGTCTTCAATCTTGTTTGTCAAGAAGAAAGGCAACAGTCGATGAAGAGTACAAGTGATGTTACTTTCAATGTTTCACATAACACTTCTGATGAAAATTATGTGGCAGCTTATTCTGGTGGGTATAATATTATAATTTCAATACAATATTGGAATTATAATGTTATACCAGTTTGGTCGGTTTAGTAGATTGAGCTCAAGTACTCTAATAACTTGAAGATTCATGAACTATCTCCATGTGGTAAACGAGATAGAGAGGAGATACTATTGTGGTTAGAGAACATTGTCGAACAAATGAGGTAGTATATTGCTATGGTAAGATGATTTGTAAAGATTTTGTTTATTGAAATTATATTTACATTCTTAATACAAAACAATACCAGTAGTCATAGGTAAAGTCATAGGTAAAAAAGAATGTATTTTATATTAATGTAAATAGTAAGACCAACTATGTTTAGTTTGTTTGTGTATTTTAGAGCTAGTAATGTAAAGTGGATAGTTATATAGACAAAAACTATAATTTCTATTCTCGATGCTCTCTGCCTTCAGCATGATAGGGTATGTAAAGGACATTCAATCATTGATTACAGTCATAGGTTAAGATGACATAAACTACAAGTGCTGCGATTTTGGGACCATATATTCTAAATTCACGAACTCTCTTTTTCTCCAAATTCCGGCGAGACCATTTATCCATGCATTTCCATTTATGCATCCGCCAGCTTAATAATATAGTGGGACCTTGGGCAAGAATTGTTTTTGGACCCCTATACCATTTTTTTTTCATTTTTGCATCAAAATATTATTAAAATTACTATAAAATATATATAATACTTATCTGTGTTTATTCATTTGTTTTCATTTTGTAAATCTAAGAAACAAAGTATTATATTTTATTATTGTATAAACATGAACTGAAAATGCAAAAAAAAAACTCTCATATTAAAAAAAAAAAAATTTAAGCCCTATATATTACTAATTTTTTTTCATTTTAGGAGGGCTTTGAGCGGGTGCACTGTTTGCCCAACTATATGAGCCATCACTGATCGCATCCATACATCACCTAAATGTTTTTTTTGTCGATACATAACTCATTATCAACACCCAAAATCTCCTCTCAACGTTGATCGACAACCAACCCATCTCCGAACCAGAAGTCTCACTATATCCCATCCTTAATCAACCCATCCACCTCCCTAGAAACTCTACATTAGTTCTTTCTCCTCCAGAGACGAACCATAAGCCATCCAAGCCACATCCAACATCGAAGCATCTAAAGATGTGACCTACATAGTTAACCTCTTCTTAACAATGAAAATTCAAACTGAATCTAATATAAATAAATATTTTTACGGTATATCAATTTATGGATTTCAACTGAACTGAATCTAAATCCAAATGATATCCAAAATTTCAAAATCAAGAAAAAGAATTTGTACCAAACCTCATCTTAATCCAAAATACACTAAGATATGATTAAGTACATGTAATAATATATATTACATGGATAATTATCTCAAATATTTAGCCTAATATATATTTTTGGTATTTGATCAATATTAATGTTTTTAGGTTTTAACAATTGTATTTGAAACACAATTATGAATAAGTTTGTTTCTAAAATGAAACATTCTTTTTAAAGTTTGAGTGGTGTGTTTTACGTTTATAGAGTTGTTAGTTATTAACTTTTGTACTTACATTTTTATTAGATAAAATTCTCGTTTGTATAAGAATTTAGTTTGCGTTGAATCATCTGATGTTGTCACGTATAATTCAAAGATAAGTCTAATAGGGTTGATATATATAGACGAGTCTAACAAGATTTAAGTATTATTCTTTCAGTCCATTTAGCAGGTTGGAATTTTTGGCTAGTCCCAGTACGTTAAAAAAAAAACAAAAGTTTAGAACCTATCACGTGTTTTATTAAATTTAATACTAGCCGCAAGATTCAAGATTAAAAACACGTGTCACTAGATTTAGCAGAATCAACATCAATATTTTTGTTTATAATTTAAATTTATTTGGGGCTTTACATAAACACTCGTTACATTTCCCCATTCCGAGTAAATCGAATAATTTATCACTCATTCTCTCTCCCGAATCTACTTCCCTCGACAAACCTCTTTTCTCGCCGGAACCCTAATTTGAATTTCCCGGTAAGTTTAACCTCTTTTCTTCACCACCGCTTCAATTTCAGTTATCTTTCCCGTGAGAGGGAAGAGAGTATTGACGCGTAGTTTGGTATTGTCTTTGCTAATCGCAGTAGATGAGCGTGCGATTAGGGAACATCTGAATCTGAATGGAGGGAGGTAGCGTTTCTTCTACACACTCTTCTTCTTGTTGTTTTGAGTTGAATCACTCATTCGACTTGAAATTCATCTCTTTCACGGCCTCCTTTGGTTTTGCTTTGATTTACATATATGTATATTTTTTTTTTTTTTGTTTCAGAAATAACCCCATGGACTATGACGATAGTGACTTTCAAAATCAGAATCTCCATTTAACTGGTGAAGCTAACAATAAGTTTCCTCCAGTGTCTCTTCCAAGGTTTGATTTTGACCTGAGGTTTGATAGTTTAGTTGAAACTGAGGGTTTTCTTGGTAACGAAGATAGTGATTGGATTGAGGATTTCTCTCGTGCAAGTAGTGGTGGTGGTATAGACTTTAGCTCAGCTGCAACGGATTCTTGCGTCATTTCTAGGCATAATAATAATGTTTGGTCTGAGGCTACTTCGTCCGAATCTGTTGAAATGCTTTTGAATTCCCTTGGACAGGACCACCAAGTCACTGTTAAAGAGAAATCTGGTACTTCGGATGACCCAGGCTGCACAATGGAACAATTGGAGCCTGATCACACAAACCATGAGGATATTCTTTCCCAAGACGAAACAGTAAACGTACAACCCAACCCATCTGTGGGCGATACTCCAGGAGGCTCCTCTGTGATTAAGACAGATGCTGAACAGGAACAGGTCCCTGTGAAAGATGACTCACCAACTGTTGCGCAGGAGTCCTCCATGGAGGAAGATAATGCCATTTTTGCTTCAAATACATTTGATGTGGATACTGAGGCAACCGATAGTCTTCTTGACCAAACTGTTGCGGAAGAGTTATCCATAGAGGAAAAGAATGCCGATGTAGCTTTAACTTCTGCGACTGTAGAGGATGTGAGTTCTAATGTGCATCATAAGATAGGAACTGAGACAACTGATAGTCTTCTTACCGTTGCGGAAGAGTCATATATGAAGGAAAATGATACTGTTTTAGCTTCAGTTACCATGACTAGAGAGGCTGTGGATACTGCTGCTCATGAGAAGATAGGAACTGAGACGACTGGTAGTCTTCTTGACCAAACTGAAGATTCATGCATGGGGGGAAAGAACTCCGATTTAGCTTCAGATACCGCTACTGTTGAGGATGTGATTTCTACTGGGGATAATAAGATAGGAACTGAGACGACTCATAGTGTTCATGACCAAACCGTTGCGGAAGAGGCATCCATGGAGGAAAAGAATGCTGTTTTAGCTTTAGATACTGCAACTGTAGAGGATGTGATTTCTACTGGTCATAATAAGATAGGAACTGAGACGACTCATAGTGTTATGATAGAGGCATCCATGGAGGAAAACAGTGTCGTTTTAGCGTCAGGTACCGTGACTGTAAAGGCTGTGGATACTGGTGGTCAGGGTAAGATAGGAACTGAGACGACTGGTAGTCTTCTTGACCAAACTGAAGAGTTATGCATGGAGGAGAAGAATGCTGTTTTAGCTTCAGATACCGCAACTGTAGAGGATGTGAATTCTACTGGTCATAATAAGTTAGGAACTGAGACCACTGATAGTCTTCTTGACCAAACCATTGCGGAAGAGGCATCCATGGAGGAAAAGAAGGCTGATTTAGCTGATGTGAATTATGCTGGTGATGATACCATAGTAACTGAGACGACTCATAGTGTTCATGACCAAACCGTTATGGTAGAGGCATCCATGGAGGAAAACAGTGTCGTTTTAGCTCCAGATACCGCAACTGTAGAGGCTGTGGATACTGGTGGTCATGATAAGATAAGAACTGAGACGACTGCTAATCTTCTTGACCAAACAGACAAAGCGAACACAGAATCAAGGATGGAAATTGATTGTGGCGACGGAACTGTACAGACTGGGGCTCCTGCTAGTGGTGAGTTGAATAATGAGACCCCTTTGCTTCCAGAGATTTCCAATGATGAAAATGATATCAGCGACCACACTGCGAAGTCTAATTTGAAGGATATGGAGCTATCTGATGTCACGGTACTAGAAAGAGGGGACCAAGCTCTCTCTGCTCTTGAGGTAGGTGAACCAGACATTACAGGGACCCAATGCGGAGATCTTCCTGTAAGCAGTGCGCATACTAGCGCAACTGTTGAAGCATCTTTGGAACTCGTTGGGTTATTAACGAATCTAACAAGCAGTGAACATAAATCTACTTTCCAGACTGAGACACGTTCAGAGATACTTCGAGTTGAGACTTCAGAAAGTGTTAATGTTTCACAAGTGGACTCAATGGTTGAATCCACAGAAAGTGATGTATCTAAGAAGAGTGACAATAAGGAAGGTAATTCTCGCATATCCGATCTCAAACAAAGAATGGAATTGGCTCTCAGTGCCAATGATAGAGATCCTGACGCCAAGAGCTCCGAAATCTTATCTGAAAGTGTTGTGTCCGAGTCTGTTGGTTATGCTTCAAGAGACTCTGCATCCATGTTGGTGGAGTCAAAATCTCAATCTGACATCATTTCAGTAGACAAGTCAGGTAATGATACTGTCTAATTCTTTTGATATATACTCTTTTTCATAAACTTGTCTCTGCATTTCTATCTTTTTGGGGGTTTAGCGTACTACCGGTAATTGCATACAAAATTAATATATCATAATTACTTATTTATAGCCCTCTACATGTGTATGTGTATACAATTTATTTCTCAGGGACTATGATTGATGGTAAAGAATGTGAAGCATTTCCTCTCAATCCTGAAGAATCGCAACATCTAAGCCAAGAAGGAGCACATATGGTGACTACATCTTCAATAGATTTACATATGGTGACTACATCGACTCAGTCTAATGAGCAAGTCAGTTTCTCTGTAATCGAGAAGGTTTCATCTGGCGATCCTGAAAATAGTCAAACTGTTCCACCTGTCGAAGCAAGTAATACAGGTAGTTCTGTTGCACAACAACCTAGGAAGCATAATGAAGATACTCAGCAAAGTACACAATTTGTCGAAGGCTGTACTGCCTCTGAAGGGTCAAAGGATGCAGTAGATGCTGATGCCGCTGGACAAGTTTTGCCTCAGCAGTGCAAGGAAACAATTTTAGAAGAAAATCTAACAGAAGTTGTAAACGATCCTGGTAATCTTTTTATATTGTTGTTCTGCAAAGACCTTACCATATTTGTTTACCATTTGATGGTTTGATTTATGTTTTAGTAATCTCTTTTTGTTTTGCTTTTTCCTCAGAGACTCGGTCAGTTCTGGACAAGGATGCTACAAATGAAAACCCTAAAGCTAGCTCCTTGGCTAATCTTCGGAGTGAAGCTGTGGCAGATTGCCAGGAAGAGAATAAGACTGCTGCATCCGGTGGGATTATGACATCTGCGACTCTTGTTTCATACCCTATAGGTGAGTTTGTATGATCATGTAGCATCAAGAAACTTTCTTTCTAGCAGTTTCTTCTATTTTTTTTCGAATTGTTTATTAAAAAGATACATATTACGTGTGTGAATACTTATGAATTTCCACAATAGAATCAATAGTCTATTAAAGTAACTTATGACTACGTCTCACCAGTCTTGCCCTTCGAACGACCAATGCTTTCCCTTTTCTAGATTCGTGCAATTCATTTTACGTACTCGTTGGACATATATACCTTTCCTTGCGGATATTGCAGGTGTTGTAATCGAAGTAGGAGAGTCCTGTGCTTCTACAAGGTCTGAGTCTTTTGTAAAGTCCCACATTACTGGAACACAAGACGCTGTTACAAATTTAGGGACTCCTGTTATTTCTTCCTCAGCTCTGAAGACGCCCGAACTTCAACTTAATAAGACAGAGATAAACAGTGTCAAAAAGCCAGAGGAACAGAATACTTCGAGTTTGATGTATACCGAATCTCCGGTCTTAAGTAGAAACGCGACCTTAAGCAGTGGGCTGAACTTGACTTCCGATCCAAGAAAAGCAGGAGAAATTTCCAAAGCTTCCCCTGTCTCTCCGGTACGTCCGATTTATATCTGAACATAGTTTCATCAGTAGACAAAGCGAATGCTCTTACATTATGTTGTTATCATCCTTACGTAGCATATGCGTTCTTTTAGATTGTGGTGGGATCTCCATCAACTAGCTTAGAGAAAACAGCTGCAAAGTCTTCCAAAACAAAATCTGAGCGTAAACCCAGGCGAACACCTAAATCTGTAGGAAAAGAGACTTCTAGAAAAGGAAATTGTGTAAAGGGGGTTACACCTGTTCAACATTTTCAGAGTGCAGGCAACGCCATTGCTATTATTCAGAGTTCTGCTTCTTCTATTCAAATCACACAATCTACTAAGAAGCATCAAAGTCTTCAGACCCCTGTTCTTAATTCGTTCGGGACCCTTTCAGCCCCCACAGCTAGTCTACCAGATCTGAATTCTTCTACTCTCTCAAGAATTTTGCATCGACCTTTCACTGACTTGCAACAAGTGCAACTACGTGCTCAGATTATTGTGTATGGGGGTCTGATGTAAGTTCTATGTTACTCTGTCTGTGCTCTTAAGTTTTGTTGAGTCAGTGAGACTCAGTAGGGATCTCAATCTCAGTCAGAGTTCTTGCGCATTTTACTGTCTTACAAAATTATAATTGTTTTTTTTTCTCCCGTTGCAGCCAAGGGACAGCACCCGATGAAGCTTATATGATATCAGCATTTGGTGGTGCAGGTAAGATTATTATTTTCTTAACCTATTGTATTATTACCCATGTTTGAGACAAAGCATGTTCACTCTAGATGGTGGGAGGGGAAGTTGGGAGAAAGCATGGCGTGCTTGTGCTGTAAGGGCTCAGAGAATGCGTATTTCTAGTCCTGAAACGCCATTGCAATCACGTGCAGGTTTCTAGTTCGATTTATTCTGCAATATTAGCTCTTGTGGTCTGCTTATACTTATTTCTCAGCGCTGCTGCTGTTTGCATTCCGTAGCTAAATACCCGAAACTGCATTTCCAGGGAAGACAGAGACGCCGTCAATGAGTCACAGCAGTAGCAAACTTAGTTCAGTGGGAAAATCCATAATTCCGCTCTCATCACCTTTATGGAGTTTGTCAACTCCCCTCGAAACTTTACAATCAAGAAGCAATCAGAGAGGTTCAGCTGCTGCACCACTGCCTTCTTCATCGCATGCTCTTCAAGCTGCACCAGTTACGAATATTGGACATAATACGGCTTGGATGTCCCCTCTCCCTTACTCCAACCCTTGGCTTGCTTCTCCGCAGACCAGTGGGTTCGATGTTGGTTCTCGGTTCCCCGTTTTCCCGATCACCGAATCTGTAAAGTTGACACCCACAAAAGAATCGTCCTTGCCTTACTCTGTCGGTAAGCATGTTCTGAGTGGAACTTCTGGCAATGTTTTCAAAGGGACACAAACATTTGAGCCAGCCAGTACAATTGTTGCACCTTCTCAACATTCCACTGGGACGAAATCAAGGAAACGGAAGAAAATGTCAGCCTCTGTGGAGTCTGATCCAAGCATTTTGAATTCGCTGCAGCAGACAGAAGTAGTTGTCTCACCTCTTGTTTCTTTATCAACACCTGTACATGTTACAGCTGCTCCCGGTACTTTGGCTTCTAACGCAGGCACCCTGCCCAGTGTTGACTCCATCTCTGCTGTCCCTGTGAACCTGGTATCTACGTTCACCGGTAAGAAAATGAAATCGTCTTTGCAGTCCCCAATTTTTGGTGGTAACCTTGTATCTGAAGTGGAGCAGGGGTCTGTGTTGCCGGTAGATACCATTGATAAACTTAATGAGGCTAAGATGCATGCAGAGGATGCTTCTGCTCTTGCTACTGCAGCCGTTAGTCACAGCGAATATGTATGGAAGCAGATAGAGCAACAAAGGCATACTGGTCTCCAGCCAGAAACTCAAGGCAGATTAGCTTCCGCTGCTGTTTCCATAGCTGCTGCTGCTGCAGTGGCCAAGGCTGCAGCTGCTGCCGCTAATGTTGCAGCTAATGCGGCACTTCAGGCTAAATTAATGGCTGAAGAAGCATCCCTTCCAAGTGTTTCTTATCAGGGTACTGATGTAATAACTCAAGGCCAGGGGACTCCTGTTTCTGTCTTGAAGGGTGAAGGTGCAGTGGCCAGCTCCAGTCCGTTCCTTAGTGCTGCGAGAGAGGCGGCTAAGAAAAGGGTCGAGGCTGCGACAGCGGCCACCAAACTAGCTGAAAATATGGATTCCATTGTTAAGGCAGCAGAACTGGCATCAGAAGCGGTTTCACAAGCTGGAATACTTGTTTCAATGGGCCATCCTCCATCACTCAATAAGCTGGTGGAGTTGGGTCCAAGTAATTACTGGAGGCAGCCTCAAGAATCTGAGGAAGCGCAGCCCTGTAAAGTGGGTGTATTAGAAAAAGAAACTGTGATTACTAGTGATAAAGCTTTTACTAGTCCTAGCACTATGCATACTGAGTTGGATGCCTCTGTGAGAACGGCAGATGGTCTATCTGGTCTAGCCTCTGCCACTGGAAATAAAACAAATGGACAGAAGGGTCACGAAAAGCAAATAATGAAAACAACAAACGATGAATGCATTAAGGAAGGTTCTCAAGTAGAGGTTTGTGTCATTTTTGCATATATACTTTTCTATAGCAAACTTCTCGCTGCTGGTTGTGTTTCTCTTTTTTAATGGAGATAAAATTACCCTATGTAGGTTTTCAAGGAAGGACCTGAGTTGAGAACTGCATGGTACTCTGCCAATGTATTGAGCTTAGAGGATGGGAAAGCTTACGTGCTGTTCAGTGACCTTTCTGTAGAACAAGGTTATTTGTTTGCCACATAATTTTCTTTATGTTGTCGTTGCAGTGATCTGTATTTGGTAGTTCAATGGCTTGACAAGTCAGGGACCATTTAATCGTTCTCTCTCATTTTACTTTACATATTGCTCCAAGTGTATGATAGATATGTAACCGTACCCATTATTATATTTTATGCATGTACAGCACTCTATTAGTTGATTAGTTGATCAGTTTATCTGTTATCAGGTACAGATAAGCTGAAGGAGTGGGTAGCCCTCAAAGGTGAAGGTGATGAGGCCCCGAAGATAAGAACTGCTCGTTCTATTACGGCCGTGCCATATGAAGGAACCAGGAAGAGACGTAGAGCTGCCATTGGGGATCATGTTTGGAAAATTGGGGATAGAGTAGACTCGTGGGTCCATGACAGGTAACTAACATCTCTTTTGCCTGCGGTTTTAATGCGATCCCCTAACAGCAATGAGCCCACAACAAAAAATCTTTATCGTTTTCAAATTTCCGTTTTCTGAAACCTATTATTCAACTAGCTTTATCTATGTGTTGTGTTCTCCTTTAGTTGGTTGGAGGGTGTTATCTTGGAGAAGAACAAAAAGGATGAAAATACAGTGACTGTGCATTTTCCAGGTTCGTAAAGATGTGTGATGAACATATCTCATTTCCATGCTCTAAACTACTTGTCTGTACCAGTGTGCTCAGAACTTTCTTTTTTCTTTTTGGCAGCACAAGGAGAGACTTTGACTATCAAAGCTTGGAATCTTCGTCCTTCTCTTGAATGGAAAGATGGAAGGTGGATTGAATGTTCTACGTCAGGAGAAAAAATCAGCTCGTCACATGAGGTACTATGACCCTTTTGTGGAGCTAAACGGATCTCTTTTTAGATGCTTTTGCTATTTTGAAACTCAAAATTTTAAACTGCAGGGTGATACTCCAAAGGAGAAGCGGCCTAGACTAGGAGTTACTGCTCCTGTAGCTGAAGGAAAAGACACGAAAATGAAGATCGTTGATGATCTGGATTTAGGTAAACCGTCTCAGGCTGGTGTTCTTGACCTCGGTGTTTCAGAGACTACATTTAACATCGGGACAAGTAGAGAGGAAGGTAATCGTGGTCCACTCCGAATGAAGAGAACCGGTTTGCAAACGCAGGGAGCAAAAGTGATTTATGGTGTCCCTAAACCTGGAAAGAAAAGGAAGTTCATGGACGTGAGCAAACACTACGTTTCAGAGGCGAGCAATAAAACTGGTAAACAGAAGGAACCAGCTAAGCCTGTGAAGCCAGTTGTCCCCCAAAATCCAGGACCAGGGAGCTGGAGACTGCCTTCAAAACCGAGAGAGAAACAGACAACAACATCGAAGCCCAAGACTTTCAAACCTGCGCCCAAGACCAAGGAGAAACCGGTTGCGGCATCTAGGGTAATCCCTCGCAAGGACTCGCGTAGTACAACAGCCTCGAATATGGAATCTGAAGATGCCGTTGGACAGAGTGGAGAGAACAAAGATCCTGCATCTGGAAAAACTTCATCTTCCCAAGGCCAAGATAGTTCCTCCTCGAGCACTATTGGTAAAGGGAAAGTGGCTCCTACTGCTGGGAGGTTAGCCAAGATTGAAGAGGGCAAGACGTTGGCTGAACCATCAGATGGAATGGAACCACGTAGATCTGTCCGCAGGATTCAGCCAACTTCTAGAGTAAGTATACAGACAGGATATTACATTAATGGCAATCGCTTAATATAATCCTGATTCACTTTTGAATTTATGTGCGTTGCTCTCCAGCTACTTGAAGGTCTGCAATCGTCGATGATGACCTCGAAGATTCCTTCCATTTCACACAGCAGAAGTCACCAAAGTCAAAGCAGAAAGTAAGCGTATAGGTGAGGCGACTTTATAGTGCCCAGTAGTAAAATAACTTGGGAGGCAACTATATTGAGCTAAGACTATAGATTTTGTTTGGCAGGCAAGTAGGTGATGGAAGGAGCAAAAGCTAAGTGCACATATAAACCTAAAGAGGCAGTCTGCTGTTTTAGGCTGTCCTACATTTTTAATTTCGACCTATGAGAAAAATACTTTCGTTGTTGGTTTAGGGGAGAGATGATATGTTATTGTAGGTGTGCTTTTGATTTCTCTGTCTATAAGATGAATAAGTTTATTCGTGACATTGTTGTAGGAGCAAAACAACAGTTTTATTATTGCCAAGTATCACTATCTTCTATGACTCCATTTCCTCCTCTCATAAGCATAGTATGATGAAAAATACATTTATTTTAGATTATTATGATCATACAGCTGAATTATTACACAGTTGTGATATTTTGATTAGTTTTATTGCATGATAACCAAGCAGCGCCAGACTGATCCCTTCTCTGCACAGGCCGTGATCCTACTCATTTTATTTGTCTTTTTTTTTTCTACCCTTCCACGTCTTCTCTTCTCTTTTTTTTTTTTCTTTCACTGGTGGGATAAAGTTTTGCAGGAGAGGCTCTCGGGTTGAAAAAATGAATGAAGATATCTGTGGGAGTGGAAGCTCGTATGCTTGAAGATGCACTTGAGAGATACAAAAACTGAGTGGATTCCAAGCTTTGAAACTGAGTGATAATAATAATAATGTCGGGATGTAGGACACTACATGTATTCTACACGCCAAGGCGTGTTATGTACGTACGATGTGCTACAAGAATGTTCTTGTGATATATTATGTTTTTTTCTAGAGTAATTGCGTTCTATAACCATAAAACCTTTTGATAATAGCTAAGTACCTTTTTGTATTTAGGTGATTATCTATGCGAAGCTTGGAATATGACGAATATACCTTCAAAAAGATAACCCAAGCATCTACAATTTTGAACATGCAAATGGGGTAGAATGTAGAGTGTGTCAGGTCAACACATAAACTGTTGTCAAATGATGTCATGACTAGATGATATTATTTCGCGGAAGATAATCTAGTAGCTAAGTTAAAGCTGTCTATTACATATTTATGATGCGAGGAAAAAAATAGAATAATGTAAACAAGTCATCGTATACAAAAACATCCCATGGATAACATACATAATCCATCTTTTTTTAATTGATATTTCATCTTCCATCTCTCTCTCACTCACTTTCTTCGCCATTCTCGCTCTTCTGTAACTTCTCCTATCTCTTTTTCTCTTTCTCTCTTGCTGCGCTTCGGTGTTGTATCTGATTTCCGTATTCTACAGAAGCTCTACATTTGATAGCATAGCGTTGATGAAGAAGATCACATCAGCAGTGGTTAAGATAGCAGTTAAGGATGAGAGTGTGCGGCGGCGATGACAGATGACAGATGATCAGATGGTTGTTGGGGTCAAAATCGGTACGACGGAATCAACGGCCGAAACTCCCCGCAGAAATATAAAAGGAATAGTTTTATAAAACCCAAAGAATCGTTTTATAAAACCCAAAGTATCGTTTTATAAAATTCGAGACTTCCTGGACGTCCCGAGCCTCGATATTCCGCATCCCCGATTCGAAACTTACGTCTTTCAACACGGTCGCATTCTGAACCACGGCCGAAATGTCTCCCGTTCCATCTCGATCCGACCTATCGTCCGAGTTTTACGATAAAAACCGTAAAACTTTGTTTTCACGACAAAGAACTCGAGGAATTCGTATAAAACGGAAACGGTTAAACGGAACACCGAACATTGCCTAAACAATACGATTTATTCGAGATTTCTCGTTAAAATCGTAAAAAACGCGTTTTTAATAAAAACGTCGAGTAAATCGTAAAAAATGTGTTTTTAATAAAAACGTCGAATAAATCGTAAAACCTTACGATTAGCTCGAGGAATTTACTAAAAACGGCTTCAGATCAGGAAACGATCCCGTACAAAGTCGGAAAACGGATTTATCGCAGAACGGCCCAGAAGGTCCTAAAACGCGATAAAAGCCCATCTCGCGATTTTGACGGAATCTAACCCGAAGATACGATAACGTTTTGACGGTTTACTCGCAGGAGGAAAATAAATGTCAAGCTTGAAGATAAAAGGCAGGATTGAAGAAAAATAGAAGATTTCCGCGGAAGAAAAGGAAGGATCGAGAAAAATGGAAGATTCCCGATATACTCAAATCCGGGCGAAATGGAAAGACCGAATGGCCAAGGCGAGGAGTATATAAGTAAGAGGTCTAGGGCAGAAGCAAGGGACACGAGTTTTCAGAGCTTTCACCACCAAACTTAGCATTTAGGCAATTTTCCGTATTCGTTATCGAGCTGCGTCTCAACTAGGGTTTTAGTCTTAGATTGCTAGAACTAGGAATTTTGCCGACGGCTCACGCAGCTAAGGCAACTCTCGTTGTAACCGTTCTTACGCGAATTCAGAATAAGAATCCTTCTTGCTTTCAATCTCGTTTTTATTTTTATATCTTTCAATTTATTCATATTAATCGCGTTCTTGGTTACTTGTCGTTGGCTTTCGCAGAGATCTGGTTCCTCTGAAAAATTAGGGTTTTCGTAACTTTCCTTATTTTACGGAAATCGACAGGTGTGAATTTCGGTTCCCACAGTTTGGCGCTAGAAGGAGGGGGGTCGGATTACTCTTACTCATAGCCGCAAAACGGTTGACCAAAACGATGTCTGGATGTATGAAAGACAAAGTCGCAACTCGCAAAGAGACGCTGGTAAAAAAACTCAAGCAACGACTGCTCCTACAGCCAACGCTCACGCAAACGCTGTAGTACTCAACAAAATCGAAAACCTAATCGCGACTCTTCGCCACGGGAAGAGCAACAAAACAAGCTCACGATTTCTATCTCAGATCACTAAGGGCAACGATAAAATCTATCAAACCCCGTAGTGTTTTTCTGATTTCCGAGTTGGACAAATCTCATGGGTTGAGCAAAAGACATTTTTCGAGAACCTTTCGGAAAAATAAAACTTGCTCTCCCAGAAACCGTGGAACAAACCGTAACTTACTCGCAAAATAAATCCTAGGATACTCGCGGAAAACCCTAGGCTGTTCGCGGAAAAATCCTTAGGTAACTCGCGGAAAAACGTAGGTTATTCGCGGAAAAACCCTAGGTTACTCGCGGAGAAAGCCCTAGGTTACTCGCGGAGAAAGCCCTAGGTTACTCGCGGAAAAACCCTAGGTTATTCGCGACAAAACCCTAGGTTACTCGCGGAAGAACCGTAGGCTACTCGCAGAATCGGGAAATACTATCTAGCCGAAAAGACGGTGAGTTGGCCAACCAACCTAGCTTGCCATCTTGGCGAGCTGACCGGCTTTCCACCTCGTCCCAGAGGCACTGAATCTTCCCCGAGGGTCCGCACAATCCTACTCATAGCTATGGTGAGCCGGACCGTACTCTAAACAATAATCGCACTGCTTTTCGTTTCGTCTCAATCAAAGTTTTCGTTGAGGTTTTACAACGAAAACAAGATAGCTTGGTGAATCGGGACTGTGCTCGCCGACTCACCATTAGGCAAGTTGGACAAGCTCGACGGATCGAAACATCTCCACCTCGAATCTTGATCGAGACGCTTTTCGTTTCGTCTCAATCGGACTTTCCGTTGAGATTCTACGACGAAAACAAGTCAACTCGACGAATCGAGATCACCCGCGCCAAGCGTCTTAGCTCGTCAAATGTAGAGCTAGCTAGCTCGCCATACAGCGAGCTGAACCAAGCGCCTAGCTCGCCCAAGAGACGCTGACTTCGCCCCAAGGGTTCTTACCATCCAGATCGCCACACGGCGAGCTGAAAGGGTTCGCCCGACTTGCCCTACGTCGAGCTGAACAAATCCTCGAGTTTCTCTCTCGAGTCTTGATCGCGCTGATTCTCATTTCGTCTCAATCGGAATTTCCATCAGGATTTTACGACAAAACCGCAAAGACTTGTTTCTTAGTATAAGTTCGAATTAATCGTCTAAAACGGCAACGGTTGACTTAATACCAAAGCTGCCTAAACTATACGAGAAATCTGAACTCTCTAGACCCAATCCGGTTTTACGAAACTCTGCCACGCTAAGTCGAAAACATCCAATCATAAACACGTGATTGATTTTTTCGATAATACAAAGCGCACCTAGTCGGTCAAATAAAACAAGCAATACGAAGAAACAAGAACATGAGCTCCGATGTTTAAGTCTTCTCCCCGCTCTGATACTCTTGCTGGCAATTCATCGAAGACTGGTAGGTCAAAAGACGAAGAACGAAGAATAAAAGATCCCAAATCATCGATGAAACTAAGGTATGTCTGATTCAAAAATTTTATTGGACTTCTAATTTCTCGTAGGTAAGAAACGAAAATGTCTTCTAAACTGCCGTGAAACCTAGAGAACTTAGAATTTAGAGAATATCCTAGCATGCTAAGTCGTAAGCAATTTTTGTCTATCTCGATTTGTTGTTTTCTAACCATTCAGGCATAACTCGCAAACCGATCCAATCTCTCGTACAACCGAGAAACGATCGCCACGCATTCAAACGTACTGATTCCCTAAAAGAAAGAGGGTGCTAGAGACGCTGACGTTGTCTTAAAACCGACTCGCTCCTAGATGTTTTCATAAATCAGACATACTCCAAATCATCTCCGATCCACCATGGTCTTTAATCGACCCGGATTGTCGATCATCCCAATCCTTCAAACGAAACTCGTCTTTCTTCTTTCGCCGTACATTTTTCCTCGCATCAAGAAAACGCTTTCTAAAATAAGCGGAAAAATATTCGGACGATGCAACACCTCGTCGAAATCATCCCAAAAGCAAACGACAATCTAAGAACCGTCTAAGCGCTAAAGACTGATCCAAACCGTCTGGGAAATAATCTCAAGGACTATACAGCATCTCTCGTCACAATCATGCGGTTAGAAAATCTCTGCGAAACTTCAGAGCGAAACTCGATAATTTGCCGAAGTCATAAAGATCTTCTCAAACTTGATAAAACAAGTATAAGAATCGAAATCTTTAGGCATCAAAGCATTGATCTCATTTTCCGTCAAACCAAGTAAGTCACGGAATAATGTCAAGAACATTTGCGGCGAAAGAAAAATCGAGAACACAAAGCAGCAATAGAGAACACGTCCTCCCTCCTCCCCGACTGATCCTATTGCTGAATATGTGATTCATTCTGTCCAAGAAACCCGCTAAAACATTTTGCGACTAGATCTCGGTGAAATAACTTTTGGTAAAAATCCACGAGTGACTCCGAAAAAACCATCACTGAAGAATCGAAAACTAAGCGGAAAGGTTTCTCGAAAA